CTTCAGTTACACGACCAAGCACACCTTTATAATCTGCCTACGCATATGGTTAGTTTCCTGAGCCATTTTTCCTTAATTCTCGATTATTTTGCATACACTTCAAATGGCTGCACTTCTTCATTCTTTAGCTCGCTTGTGATTGATAACTCCCCATAGAAACATAATAGCGTTACGAAATATCTATTTAACTGTACACCCTTGGTTTTTATGAAGTATCTAGGCACGCTATTGCCTTTTTTGTCGGTTTGTGAATTGCTTATTAAAAAAAGTTAATATTGATATAACGCATTAAGGGGGTCTCTTCTGGATCAAGGTCCCGATAAAGAATTTAAGCTATCACATCATATCTAATCTTGAAGGACCGCGCTATTTGTCGAATTTCACGCTCTTTAAGCCCCTTAATACAGGTATTCGAGCATCCCTTTTATGGTAGGTTATCTTTTTTTTTCTTTGCTCATGACCATTGTTAGACTTATGCGTTTTCATCTTTTCCCTTACATCGTTTACATTTCTAATCACTAATTGTAAAACATATCGAAATCCGAAATTTAAAAATCTTATTAGCGAGTTGCTTTCGGTTTGGTCCATAGTCAAGTTCTAAAAACCATTTACCTTTAGTATCCATGTGCTTTAATGCTTTCTCGTCGATGTTTCACCTACCATCTTTTCATCCTGTTACCCGTTCATTTCTCATATTGTTTACACATTTCCTTACTAGATTCTGCCAAATCGTACACATCATGCTTACTGTGTATCTTGCAACTCGTTGGGCTGTCTCATTTCTCGTCTACCATTTACCGCTTCAACGCAGCTTCCAGAGCTGATATATTTGCTGCGTCGACAAGCGGCTGCCATTGCCTTTTACGAGACTTTTTTACTGCACCCCCGTCAGCCTCCCAGCAAAGGTGAGCGACATAGCCCCGTTGCGACCATTTTATTCTATGATTTTTCTTTGTATTCTTTATTTTTTCTGATCTTCCATAATAGGGTTCTCTACATCAATTAATCGATCTCTTAATCCATCGTTATCGAAATTATCTTGCCCTTATAATTTAAAAAATCAAATTGTATTTTAACCATAAATCCTTGTGAATTCCTGCTGAAAGTTTGATTTTAATGAATTTTTGTTTACCTTTTAATCACTAGCCTCTCACTATTATGCGAATATATTCCATCATTTGGTCTTCCTTGTAGACTAATGCAGACAATTATCGACATGTTAGCTCTATAATTTTAATAGTATTAGTTGTATCAGTGCCTTCACAAATTCTTATCTAAATACATATCTACTTGCGCATGCATATCCCTTTCTCTTACCATTTTTATCAACTTCGAATGTAGTAAACATTTATTTTCTATTGGCGATTCACTCCCCCTGACAACGCAAACTATGTATTTCATTTTTAATTTGCTATCCAGATGATTTTATCGGTGCCTATCATCTTTTGCACTTTACCTTAACCATCAAGCTAGCAAAAGATAGCCTATCTACTTTGTACGTTATACACCATATGATAGCTGGGATAGCCTTTTCCTTGAATTTGATTTTGCTCTTTTTTACCCTCCATATTTTTTCATTAATACTATATCCCCTAATTTGAATTTTGTGACTCCTTAATCAATCTATGTGAATAGAACATATCAAAATATGATGAAACTAAGTATTTCTCGAACTTTTCGTCCTTTAATGAACTATGAATAAACCATCTTTTATCTAAATGTTATTTTGCAAGTAGATATTATATTTTGGAATACCTTTAATTTTGTTTGAAGGGGCTAATGGAAGGGATTCGTAAGTTGATACCACCAGAATCTGTATGGGGATTGCCTTGGAGCTGTGATTGTAGATTTGTGCGAATAGGTCCTCTGCGCACCACTCTGTGACCCCGATGAATCCTTGCTGAGCCTTTGTCCGTCGTTTCCATCGGACATCGTCAGGGTAGGACAGTATGCGTAACGATAATTAATCAGAATATGAAGAAATCTCTTTTGTTTTCACAGGAAGATGCGTAGAGGACCTATTCGCACAAATCTAAAGTCACAACTACAGCTTTCGGTGAGGCCAACTTGCTAATCTTTTCCACTAGCCTCTTCAGGTGAAATGAAAGGTATTAAGGGATTTTTCGAAACCAAGTATTTCTACATACCATTATATTTTGCTCTTGAAGATAGTTTATTAGCTTATTAGTTGTTCAATCTATCTTTCAATTATTATTTTATGTTCATATGCTTTGAGGATAATATTCAGCCTGTCATAAGTCAATATTAATTCCTTTGGAATTTACATTAAAAATTTTTTAATCCGTAATTTTTCACATATTACATGCCTCATAAATTTAAAGAACCTGTATTCTGGTATAATAATTAACCAATAGCTATATTTTTAGATAAGATTTTTTTCCAGACCTCCATTAATTATTAAATTACATCTTAGTCACTTAACGTCTCATTAGGTGATTTAAAGACTGATACTGAAATGTTTCTCACAAGAGTAGGCTTCACGACGCCACTAATTGACTTAGTCTTGCCTCCACAAATGTTTTCTCATGTAGAGGTGTAGTACAGCTTCTGCCTCATGTTGGTATGCTCTGTGGCTCTGTGTCACTCGTGGCTGTCTAGTAGAGTGGTAATGCATCGCCACGTTGCCCACGATCTGGTTTCGATTCTCTTTTGGAGATGATGATGCTGATGATATTTAGTCCATGACGAAACTGCAATCCACCCTTTATGAGAAAACTCATTTTGGAAGCAGAGATAAGTCTAATTTAGTGACATCGTGAAGCCTACCCATATCATTGTGGCAAGAACTCCTCACTCTTTAGCTCACCTTATGTGACTTGAATATAGTATTATATATATATATATATATTGCCAGCTTGCATGCCTATATTTCTGTGATAATTTGTTTATAGCCAAAGTATTAATCGATATTATTGATGTATATTGGGGGCCTGCTTTATTTTATTCTCTATTTTATCCATTATATATATTGCCATTGAAATACCAATTCCTACTAACAAATATTGAAGTGTTCCTGATCGGTTGCTTTTGCATTCTTCTGTTTGAAAAAGCAAAATCTATTATTTTAGCTAAAAATCAGGAAAACGCACTATTTTTTGAAAACATTAGAGCTATCCACATAGCCCATTCTTTTCCATTTATTAATTGCTTTAATTATAAGAATGAATAGACTATTTTTGTAAGTATATAATTCGCTTACCGATTACCAACACTTCTTCGAAGGAAGCTTTGCCTCCATCATGATGAATAGGTTAAAAATGGCACTATTCATCTTCTAAAAGACTTGAATTGATAAAATTATGCACCCTTGCGGAAAATTCGGAAGGTCATTTCTGTGAAATGACAAGGCTGATGAAATATCTGGGAATGTACCAAGTCCACGGTCCTAAGCTGTGAACTATCATAACTACAAAAGCAGAGGATTTTGGACAGTGTGCGTTTAACTTCTTGGTAAAAGGTAAAACCACTTCTCTACAACGAACGGAGACTGTGACCATAAAAACTTGGTCTTCGTATCTACGATTGTCCTGGAATATTACACTTTT